TTTAAATATCAACATATTAAAATTTGCCTTTCAACTAAATATTTATACAAGGGCAGAAAATAATAGAAATAAGAGAAGGACTAGAGGATGTCAGAGAACTTAAACAATTACAAAGTCACTTTCTAACCTGTGAATTTTCTTAAGCTTGAGGAAACAGGAAATGATGATTGAGTCAGCTAGTCAGGGTAACTGAGGGAAAAAGTAATTCCCTGTCCACTTGGGGACAGATACACTAGAGCAAAAGGAAGAGCAAGAGAATCTCCATGCCATCTAGAACTTTTGACTCACAATTCTTGTGGTCTATTTCATGTTCCTGTTGCTGAAACAAACAAAAAAAAGATGACCAGTGCCTAGTCTATATTCACCAGGCACTATGTTGCACATTTTCCCTCAGGACCTGGCCAGAGATGCCCCTGTCAGTCTGTTCTCTGCAGAGTTCTCTGTGCATTCTTGCTTCTCCATCAAATGGTACCCTGTTAAACATGAGTCATTTAAGTGGGTCAGTACTAAGGTTTTGAACTTAGAGACTCACACTTGCCAAGCAACTGCTCTACCTCTGAGCCCTGCCGCCAGCCTTTCTTGTGTGCTGTTATTTGGAGATAGAGTCTTCTGTATTGCCCAGAGCACATATGTAAACTCCACTCTCCCTATGTTACACTTTCCATCCTGGCTGGAATGATGCTCATACCACCACACTCAACTTTCTTCTTTTGAAATGGAGTCTCACCAACATACCCAGGCTGAGCTAAAACCGTGGTTCTCTTGATCTCATCACTCCATGTAGCTAGGATGATAGGCACAGGCTACCGCATCCAGTTGTTTGCTAAAAAAGAGGTCTCAAATGTATACTTGAGCTGCCCAGAACTGCAGTTCTCCAGTTCCCAGCCTCCCAAGTGCTAGGATTACAAGTGGGAGCCACCAGCAGCTTTATGACAGTTAACTTTCAACACTTAGCTCTCTTCCTTTATGAAACTATATAAACAGTGACAAGCCAGAACTATATAAACCACATGCAAAGTTGAAAATACCTCTCTCTCTGTTTCTTACATCTGTTCAGCTGTTTCTCATCCATTCAAGTTGTTATAATCAAATTAGCTGGGGTCAGGCACTTATAAACCACACGAGCTCTTTTCTTACAATTTTGGAGGTGCCGGCAAGTTCAGTGTCTGGTGAGGCCCCACCTTTTGGTCCACAGTTAGCCATCTTTTCTGTGTGTCTTCAAATGGCAGAAGGGACAAAGTAACTCTCTGGAGTCTCTTTTAGAAGGGCACTAACTTCATTGATAAGGATCCCATTCTTGTATTCTAATAACCTCCCAAGTACCATTTTATTTCAATGTGTAAATTGTGGGATGCAATAATTCAGTCCATGACAAGCTAAATCAACAGACATTTACTAATGTTACCTAATCTTGCCAAGTCCTCTGAAAGTTCATGGGGATATGAGTTCATGAGTAAGACCTCGTCCCTAAGGATCAAACAATCTGGAGCCTTGGCTTTCTAGTAAAATGAATGCTGAGGTTTCCTACCAAATTACTCCAGCTCTTCTCAAGTGAAGTAATAGGTATGCTACATTGTGGCTTTGACCAAACCAGAGTAGCCAGAAATGCCAGGGAATACAAGAGTTTCTACTGGAGGATTCCAGGAGCAAAGAAGGGGAAAGTGACAAGGACAGTCCAGAGGCCTTGTTCTATATTTTAAAATGCTCATCTGGTTGACTAGATGCGGGGAGCTCATGCAGTTATGCTTACCTGTTGTTTATTTTGCACACTGAAGCCCCCTCGACTCTAGCGAGATTCCAATGTGAACTTCTGTGCTGGAGAGAGCAGAAGCTGTGAGAGTGGAGGAGAGCTATCACAAATGAGGGAAAAACAGTTGTCTTGCATGTGAGTCACGTCAAAGAGAACTTTCCTTTCATCCTCAGGTAGTACTGGAGAAATCCTTCATAGAGACATGAGATTAAAATTTTATCTGATGGGAATCTGCTTTACTAGCTACTTACCTTCATTTATCGGGGAAAATGCCATTATTAATATGTACATTGGCATATAAGAAGCTCAATCCCCAAATCCAATACATATTGCTATATTTTCTTTCATCTATTCTAATATTTGCCCTCAGAAATGACATCTTCCCAAACTAGTAAGGGGCCTCAACTAATGATGCTAAAATCACCCTTCCTTCTCTTGCAACTGGTTTTATTCTTCAAGAAATTAGAAATGGGTGGATTGGAACAAGGCTTAAGTAGTAGAATGAATAGAAAACATGAAGTCTCGAGCTCACTTCCCAGTACTGGCAGAAGAAAGAGAAGGAGAGAAAAAGAGGAGAAGGAGAAGAAGGAGAAAGAGAAAAATGAGGAGGAGAGAGGGAGAAGGAAGAGAAAGAAAGAGGAAGAGGAGGGGGAAAAAACAAAGAGATCCATGACTCACCAGTTCAAGATATTCTATGGAAATGTAAAAGGATTCAGTATTTCAACCACCTCTATATTTATTTTTTTCCTCTTTTTCTTCTAGTGGAAACTGTGTAGTCACTTAGGAATGAAGTTTATGGATATGGTGAGAGGGGCAAGGAAGACTTTCTATAACACTAGAATCATCTTTAACTTTTCTCATTGTAATCTTCCATTACTCTCAGAATCAGAAATGCTAGCTGTGTACCCTATGGTTCACATCTGTAACCTTAGCTAGTCAGGACACTAAGGCTTAGAGGACCATCATTCAAAATCAGTCCAGGCAAGATAGTCTGTGAGATTTTGAAAAAAGCTGTACTGAAGGTATGGCCAAAGTGGTAGAACTCTAGCTGTGAACAAGAAAACCAAATGAGAGCTCAAGGCTTTGAGTTCAAGCCCCAGTACTGCACACACACACACACACACACACACACACACACACACACACACACACACACACAATTAGTAATTCTATCTTTCCATCTTTTCCACCTCTGCATGCCAGATTTTTTTTTTTTGATCAGTCATGGAGCTTGAACTCTGGGCCTGAATGCTGTCCCTCAGCTCTTCAGCTCAAGGCTAGTGCTCTAACACTTGAGCCACAGTGCCTCTTCCGGTTTTCTGAATGGTTTATTAGAAATAAGAGTCTCATGGACTTTCCTGCTTGGGCTGGCTTTGAACTGCAATCCTCATATCTCAGCCTCCTGAGATTACAGGCATGAGCCAGATTTTTAATTAACTTACACTTACACTTACTTCATCACGCTAAATAAAAACTAATTGTCCTAATTACTAACAGTCTTCAGAGTACTTGTTTTATCTAGAAGGTATGTGGCCCTGAATAGATGACACAATTCTCAGTTTAGAAATGCAAGTACATACAAAAGAATTTTCCCCTCCAAGCCCAAATCCTGTTCAGCTCATCCCATAAAGTGATGTTACTCTGATATTTCTGTTTTTTCCCTCCCTGTATTGCCCTTCTATACTATAAATCTGACTACTTGCTCAAATATGGGGAAGGAAGGGGGGATAAATTAACTTTCTGTAAATAATATCCAGCTAGATACCACAGACCAAACTTCTACAACATTTTCAGTAGCACATGTGCCAGATAATGTGTGGAATGTCAGAATCAAATAACTTTAGATTACTATTGACTCTCTGTTGATGGCATTACAAAGTTTCTTCAAAACTAGTAATCCTGACAGTTGGCAGAGGTTTGAGGCTTTGAGCATGTCTGACAGTTGTGTTACAGAGTGCTATGAAAGAGGTCCTATGTCCTATTGGGAGCCTCGTTAGCAGATTTAGCTGACACATTTGGAGAGCGGATTCATGTCCATGCTGACTGGCTGTGATGTTGATCTAGGCATCAGGGAATTTCCAGAAAAGGAAAACAGCTTGTAGCATTTGAGCAGAGCTATTAATTGGTACCATTTAGCATGGGATGACCAGAAGCAAGGTTCCATCATGGTGGCAGAACTGTGTTCTTTAACATCTTTCAGCTGTTCTATCCTCACCCAATCAGCAGTGGAGTTTTTAAATTTTAAGAGTGAGTACTATCCCGTATAACTACCACTAAAGTCCATTGGCCTTCCTTGCCAGGTTCTAGCTAAATTCTTCCTGCTGATCAACTTCTTGTTTCTTTCTACTATCTCTTTCCTCTTATTCTCCTTCCTCCTTCCCATGTTTTTATTCATTTCAATTTCTTTAAGAGAAAGGTCATTTACTTAGTTACACTCCACACAAGAAGAGGTTAAGTAAGCATGCCTGTCTTAATATTTCTTTACTAGAATAGACATATCCAACTTGCTATAAATGGCCTCTATGTCTAATCCCAGAGCATCCTACTTGTAGCTCTGGGATCCATGGTCTGTAACAAAGCTCACCATGCATTCACAGCACATTCTCATAGATCTACATAGTGACCTGAAGGCCTCAATGATGACAGAAACTACAGCTGAAAAGAATCCCATCCAATCTGAACACGCATGATGCTTTCAAAAAGGAAGCTATTTCTCTCCTCATAACCACCTTAGTGTAAGGTCAAACTGGTGATGCCAGTTCTTTCAATCACATCCCCTCCGAGTACCCTTCCCTCCTCCTAGACTTTGTTCTAAGCTTTCCACCAATAACCAACATGTATGCTTGTATAAACACTCTTGCGATCAGTACAGCCTTGAAGTGAGACTTGTGAAAGCCCCCAGCTCCCTGAAAGATGGAGGCAGAGGTGTTTTCCATGGGACTTACTTAGGTATCATAGCGTTATGCAGCTTCTTTCTCTTCCAGCTCCATTTTCCAGTCTTTTACCAGTGTTTTCTGAGAACACTTGATTACTTTCACATATTTTTGGTTGTTGTTGTTGTTGCTGGGTTGGGTTTTTTTTTGTCTTGAGGTCTACTTTTATGGAATCTGACCAGCTGGCAAAGCACATTGTCAAATTATTGAAAAAGCACATGGGTTTATTTCTTTAAAAAGGAGAAATGAAGCAATCTGCTGAATATATTAGATGTCAACAAAACAATGGTGAGAACTCTTTTTCTTTCTTTTTTCAGGAAGAGAATTTGAAGGAGAAGAAGAATATCTGGAGATTCTGGGCATTACCAGGGAGCAGTCAGGCAAATATGAGTGCAAAGCTGCCAACGAAGTCTCCTCGGCGGATGTCAAACAAGTCAAGGTCACTGTGAACTGTGAGTATGGCAGCAGATTGTCCATGCCCGGGGCATACCTCCACCTCCAGAGAGCTCGCAGATTCCATTAGCAAAAGAGCTTCGCATAACAAGCAGATGTTCTTCTGGTCAGGGCTGCACATTTATACCTTGCACACCTCCAAGGGCAGGACTTGGCCTTTGAATTTGATAAATCAACTCTACCAATTCTAAATATAACCCATAATCCATTTAACAATAGCCTCTCTCTTTTTACCCCAGCTGCAAAAATTAAGAGAAGATATCAGACGGCATTAGCACGTGTGCAGTCACTGTTGTTGTAAGGGGAGATGGGGGTTGGGGAGATGGAGGAACCAAGGTCATATTACTTTGGGAAAAGCACCAACTCATAGAGGCATTGGCTGGGATTTCTATCTTAATGCACTGTTTGTCAGCCAGTAATATCCCAAGATTGTATTTTATCAGCTGCTATTTAACTAATTGGCTTTGGGAACAAATTCAAACCCTTGGGGGTCAGATAACATGATGGCTACAGAGGACGCCTGATAAGTTAATTTTAGCTATCTGTTTGTCCTAAGTTTGGGCCTCAGAAAGGAAGATTTCACTAAGATGCATCATAAGAGGGCATACTTTGAACTTGTCAGATGAAAGGATCCTTAGATGTAGTTCAAAACCGGGAGGGAGGAAGGATCTATAAGATGTATGTCACCCAGCAAAGGAATAAAGAGAATTTTGTTTACCTTAGTCAGTTAGGAGTGTCTTTCTATGTCATTCAAATTCTCCTTACCAGGGTACACAACCTTGGTCAGTGACAGGGTTAAATGGATATCCTAGCCATTCTTATCCGTTCTGTGCACTTCATATGTATGCATACCACACCAAATACACATGCACACATATCCTACAAATACAAGCATACACATGTACGTGTATACCCACAGGCACAAATATCTTATGCCATATTTGAAAGGAAGTGTTAGGCCATGATGTGTTTTATGTCCTACATTTACTGAGCTAGAGAATATATACACACACTCTTCTCAACAAACTGGGCAAGGCAGATAAAATCAGCTTCATTTCAACATCTGAGAAAGAGAACCTCAAGGAATAAACATTGCCCATCCTAAAGCAACACAGAAATGTAATGCAAGAAAAGGGCTTAATCCAGATCTATTTGATTCTAAAGCCCAGGCACTCAGGAGCAGGAAGGAATTTTTCAATTCTTTGTACCTACTGTGTGAAACATTCAATTGACATTCGCACATGCTATTTATAGGCATAAGTTATAGCTCAAATGGTAAAGTACCTGCCTAGCAAATATGGGCTCTTCGGTTCAAACTATTGTACTCCCAAAAACCAAACCAAACAACTTTAAAACAAAACTATATATGTGTGTATGTGTGTATACAGATATATATACATATGTATGTGAGTGATATTTAGTCACCACAGTAAACTTGTAAGTTAAATAGGCATCACTAGTCTTTAATTGAAAATTTAAGAAGTAATGCTGTAATGCTTTAGTTAGGAATCTTGCCTAAGGTGGCTCCACTTAAGTTGGAAAACCCCATTCCCTGGCACATGCCCCAGCTTTCCGCCTCTTAAAACAGGAAAAGTGAAATTTCCTTCATTTGAGAAATCCAACAGACATGGCAATACACGTTGATGATCCACATTTCCAAGAGCAAGAGGCTGAATTTGATGAGCTGTGGACTGCTTTTATCCCTAGCTGTCTCCACATTTTTTTAGTAATAGAATTTTGAAATGTCAGTATTACTATTCTTTTCCAGTACTGGGTGTGTTTCAAAGACACATTAATGATCTCAATGTTATAAAATGCTTTAGGTCCTTTTTTTTCACATGAAAGGCAATTTCTCTGGGTGTTTATATAAGTTTATAATTAGGTTAGTTAGCTCCTTTTATGTACACATAACCAGGCCCTCATCTTCCACCTCTTTTCCTGGCTTTTGGAGTCAAGATTTAATTTTCTCTTAATTGACCTTCAACTTAATTAGATTTTTGAAAGTCCAATCATGTAGTAAATAGAAAATATTTATGCTTCCATTGTATGAAACTTCAAAGTGGTCTGGATTGCAGATGGCTCCCAAGATCAAAGCTAGCCGCCTGGGCCCTATTATTATTGGAGCAATTAGTCTGACATTGCTCCTTCTTCAATGTCCCCAAAGTGTAATTTAGAATAGAGAAAATACTGATAATTTTTTTAAAAGACTTTCATGAAAATGTGAATTTTTGCTAGTGAGGAGTGAATCACAGAATAATACAGACAGAACCTGAAGATTCTATAAAAGACATCTTGTGACAAATTATATGGAGGCTGTAATAAAAGTTAATCAAACACTCAGTATGTCCTGAGCACTAGGACTTAGAAATATCTAGTGTTCCAAAAATTGCTCAGCAAATGTTTACTCTAGGAAGAGGTAGAAACACACAGATAAACTTGGTCCTTCAAAATTTTTAAATGGTACTGGTTACAAGTCAGGAAGCATGTTCTAATAGCAATTTCCTTTTAGAATGGTCTTTTATTTAACTCAAACTTCATAAACTATGTTTATGCTTCTGAACACAGCAATTACTCTGTTCAAAAAAGTCATCTTTCCTAAATCTAGTCATACTGAGTAAATGATGTCCCCCAAAATGATTTAAGAAAGTAAGTCTGCCTTCCAAGATCTGAGACACAAAGAAATATTAAAGATCATTTTTATGACTTTATTTAAGCTTATGGACTAGATGAATGCTCTGTTGTCTAACCTGATTTCTCTTCATTTTCAAAAGAGAAGCTTTAGAGTTAAATAAGGAGGAACAGACCTAAGGATCTCTCAAGAGCGAAATACTAAAGCTAGCAACCAGTGATTCACACCTCTAATTCTGGCTACTCCTCAAGGGGCTGAGGTCTGAGGATTGAGATTTGAAGCCAGAGCTGGACAGGAGAGTTTGTGAGACTCTTACCTCCAATTAACCACTGAAAACAAAAACAAAACAAAACTGTGGCTCAAGTTTTAGAGCACCAGCCTTGAGCAAAAAATATCTAAGACAAAAAAGCTAACCGTTCAGGCCCTGAGTTCAAGCCCTAGTACAAGTAATAATAATAATAATAAAATATTAAAAATAGAAACCCTAGCACAAGTATCTGCCCACCACTGTATTAATTCAGTTACCCAGTTGCTACTAGATGTTTGCTGCAGAACACAGAGAGGCTAGCTTGGGAAGGAAGAGAGATATAACAATTTCTCCACCTGAGCTTGCAAGCTGGGTTCTACATCCTCTTCTTAGAACTTTTCTTGCATAACACATTTCTATGGCAGGTCTACAGCACTCTACGTTGCCACTTTATTTGCAAAAATCTATTTTCTACATGGTAGAAATGATAGTAGGGAGCTTCAGATTTTTATAGAAAGCTAAAATAATAGTGGCTCAAAATATTTTCCATTGAATCAGCTTAGTGAATTTATGAAATTGGGCTTTTCACTTCCTGTATCTTCTCCACAACGGCAGCTTCGAAGTTCCTGTGGATAGAAGCCCTAGGTCCCTCCCGGGCAGCTCCCCAGTATAATCCTCAGCTCCAGGTCCCCAAGTGTATTCAAAGTGTCTACTCAGGAGTTTGCTTTCCTTCAGTGTCCATAATCCCCAAGTTCATATCTAGCATGCAGTAAACACTAAATAAACGCAGGTTATTTTATTTCTCTTCCTTGATTGAACTTTTTTTTCTTCTATTGCTGGAAAATTTCTCCTTAGAAGCTGTCTTCAGCACTCAAGCCTAACCCATCTTGAGTGGACAAGCTAATCTGTCTACTTTCCCATAACTGCTTCTCCAAATAGGCTTTGTTGCTGTCATGCTTTTACAACTTTTTCTTCCTCTCCTTATCTCCCTTTGCACTCAACTCTGAGTTCACAGTAATGGATGCAGACAACAGAGCCAGCAGAAATAGACAGGGGAGGGGGGCATTTCTACAGCCCAGCCTTGTATCGCTAGTCCCTGAGTCAGGGGAAATAGAGATCACTGTGGCATGTTCACCGGGGACTGGGGACACAGGTAATCGCCATGATACACCTGCATTTTAACTGCACTCTTCCGAGCTTTCATTCAAAATCATCTCATGGGGAAGCTTTAGGGAAACAGCCGCTCAATATGGAATGAGACTGAAGAGTAAACACCCTGTCTGTGGATTCATGGCTCTGCAGCTCCATCCCCATGCTGACCAGAGGTTATCCTTGCATTTGGGAAGGGATCAGGAAACACACAAGAAATACACACAGTAAAACCTGGAGGTTAAAGAGCTATTGTGCCAGCTTTGGGAGCATGAATCAGAGTACCCACATTTCCTGTGACAATTTTTCCATGATTTTCTGAATGCCATGTCTACCCCCAGATATTTCACAATCACTTAGTCCTTACTTTAATGGTGGTCCACCAATCGGTCTTCTCTAAACAAGGTCAGCCTCAAACTGTTTAATAATTTAGTGTGGCATTGCTAGTACCTCTTCCTATGTCTTGAAACTCTCTGGGAACAATGCCTTTTATGTTGTCTGCACCCACTGCCTCTGCTGCCTTGTTACACCACTACTCCCTAATCCTGGAAGAAAATTGATATTACTTCTATATAGAGAAGTAAAGCACTTTCTGTGGGCACCATCCACCACAAAGTCAAATAATCTGTGAGTGGAAGACTCAGGACTCCAACCCAGGTCTAACTCCAAAGCCCTCTTTATTTTTTATGTGAATGATAGGGGATTTTTTTAAGAAAGAGAACAAGTGTGAAGGCATACTACTGTAATCCTACTACATGGGAGGTGAAGATGAGGAAGACTGAGTTTGAGGTCAGATTGAGCCAAGAATTTAGAAAGAAACCCCCCACACTTCAACCAACAAGCTAAGTGCAGTTGAAGACTATTTGTAACACAAATAATGAAAAGCATACATAAATGGATTTCAGTATAAGGATAGCCATGGATGAAAACTTGGGACCATATCTGAAAAAAGTAACAAAAGCAAAGTTAGGGCTGGAATCATAGAACAAGTAATGGAAAGTGTTTGAAATAAGCGTGAAGTCCTGAGTTCAAACCAGTACCATCAAATTAAATGAGTATGTAAAGAAGTAAGCAAGTATAATCATGTTAGGTATTGAAAGTACTCTCAAAAGTATGCTTTCATTTGCAAAGCTCTATGTGCTATCAGTGTAGATGCCATCATCTACACTCACATGAGCTGCTGTAGGAGAGCATGTCTAGATCACACAACTCTAACGCATCTTAGATGAAAGATAGAAGCACCCTGCATCTGCTCACTCCTAATGTAGAATTCTATCCACTATGTCATTTCATGTTGTGAAGTATTGGTACCTTGCAAAGAACAGGGATCCATCACATAGACCATTCACGCTATCAATCACACTTTCCTTTATTGTAATCCACTGCTGTCTAAAAGAATTCTTTCAAATGGAATTACCAGAGCAGAGAGATTCAATAGTTAACTTGGTAAACCTGGGTAAAAATTTACTCCTCTCCCCATCTAGGTCAGGGTCATTTGGACAAATCACTACCCCTCTGCATAGCTGTCTTCTCATTCATGAGATAAAGTTAAAACTTTATTTTCCAGGGATATTACTTTGTAAAGAGAATACCTCACCCTCAGAGAATGCTAACACATGCCTGCAATGCCTATAAACTGCATCATTTGTTCAAATTTTATCCTTTGGAACAATTACTTCCAATATGAGGAAGATTAAATGCATAACATTTTGTTTCCTAGGTCACTTCTATTGTTAGCCTAGCCATTCTAATGGAAAGTCTTGTAATTGCAATATAAGAATAAGAAAGCCCCTTATTAATATTTTCAGAACCTGGAACTTTGAAGTAATAAAATCTCAAAGAGTCCTTTGACAATTAGAAGGTTTTCCAAAGTCATATACAGCATAACAATGGATCTGTCTATGCAGTATTCTTTTTAATAAGGTGATGCTTTTATTATAATCATATTGTGAGCAAGGACATGTATTATTTTAACTACAGTAGGCATACTGCCTTTTGAGTTGTAATAATCTTTCCTAGTTTCACCTATACAAAATTCATTAAGAGGGATTTGGATATTCATTCCAATAAGCCACAAATGAACAGACCTGCACCATGGAGTGATTTGAGAAATATTAGGAACATTCAACTCTTCCGACACTTGTTAGCACCTATGAATTTACTTTGGCACAAGAAATTTCCTAGATTGTGAAAGAGAGAAGCAAATGGTTGGCCTTGGTAATTGACCAATGGAATCCTTTCTTGAGATGAAAGCACTGGAAAGCGCTCAACCCCACTCTCTTGCCAACTGGTCCACGAGGAGGCCCCTGGTCCACTAATGAATAGCTTGTTCTTACACAGTCGGTTTCCAAACAAATTTAGAAAGAAGTCAAGGAGTAGCCTGGGAGACAGGATCCTGCCATGATTAGAGATAAAGGTGATTAGAGATGGCACCACAAGGTGTCCAATTTATCTCCCCGAACTTGGCTAATTTGGGATGGGGAACTGCTCCCAGGACAGCTAGGGGAAAGCTCAAATCAGATTGTCAGCACAGAGAACTAGAGAAGAATTTAGGATTTCTTCCTGAAACGTGGTCTCAAAAGAACAAAGGGGACCAGCCAGATGTGGTGTTATCTTCTTAATACTTTTAAAAATTTTGAGCCATACTTGTGTTTGGGCCCTGTTCTTGCTAGGCTAGTGCTCCACCACTTGAGCCACACTTCCAAATGTGTTTTTCACAAGTTATTTTTCAGATTAGACTTTACTTCCCACCTAGGCACCTGCCTGAGCTACTATTCACCTTCTTTTTAGGCCTCCCTTCACCTCTGGAGTCACAGACTCCTGAAACACTACCCAGCCCCTGTCTGTGGAGATGGAATTGAGGACTTTTCTTCCCAACCTCAAACCTCCCCTGTAGCTTCAAGCATCCAGTGTATACCACTACTGTACTGCCAGTTATGGGTTGAGAAGACTCCTGTTGAACTTTTAGAAACAGATTGATCTTAAACCATGATTCTCTGGATCTCAGCCTCTCAAGCTGCTAGCATTACAACCATGAACCACCCAGCACCAAGCTTTCCTAAAAATATTTTATTTTAAATTTTGAGGGAGTCATACTGAGGTTTGAACTCAAGGCCTCACGCCTGGGCAGGTACACTACCATGTAAGCCAATCTACCAACGAAACTTTTTCTTTGCCACTTCTTCACATTGAATTTATTGCTGCTTTGATCATTTCTAAGGCCATGTATATGTCAAATTTTTCCCCGCTTTCCAGATCTTTTATGTCAAACTCAGTGTAGAATATCTATAAAGTTCCTTCACCAGCTCCCTAATGATCCTCCCTGCCACTGGCTCCAGATTTTATTCAAGAAGAAATTGAGCAGTGTGAATCTGAGCAAAGTACTAAAAACTCTAATGAGGAAGAACAATGGGGGAAAGGCAGAGGGAGGATTCAAGCTGAAGCCCATCAAGTTTAAATCTAAGTTCACAACCTGTAATGTGTGCTTCATCCCCAGACCAAGACTTCACCTACCAGCTCAAATGAATCTCGTTCTTGTGTCATCCTTTAAAATGATGTGCTCTCATGGCCTAGACAGCCAGTTTTTTTTTCAGAGTGATTTTAAAATAGAGCTTTGGTGATCATTTTAAGCTAGCTCCTTTTAAAAGATAAATGGGGGAGGAGGCTCAACTGGTACAGCTATTCACTCAGAATATACTTATTACTAATAGTACAATCAAGAAAATCAGATTTTACATTTCCTTGACTGTAAATTCTAACTCTTAACACATACAGTCCAAAAGTGAAATGAATTAAGAGTACAAAAATGAAAAAACATAGGCTACAATGATACTACCTATTTGTGAAGAATGTTTATAGGTAATTAAAAGGTCTACATGGGAAGTCTACACAGACAAACCGAAGTCCTGTGTTCCGGTCTAGAGTTCTTCCATTACATCATACATAAGCAGATATGTCTAAAATATAACCACAAAAAATCCCTGCTATGACTGCCTATTTACTTACAGGCTGCTGATGGTTTCCAAAAGTATTCTCACTCCTCTTCCCTGACCCCCAAGTGACAAAGATTTAGATGCTAATAGGAAAATGAAATGGGGAAGGAAATTGCAGACTAGCTTGATGTTGTACATCCTGCTAAGCTCAGGTAATCTGAATCAGCTATAGATGGAAAACTTGAGAAAACAGTTTTGTAAAACTGAATAAATCATTCAAAATCCACATGCAGAAGAGTAGTAGAATTGGGTAGATTTTTATTATTTGTTAACAAATAATAATGTTTATCTTTTGCCAGTCCTGGAGCTTGAACTCAAGGACTGGACACTGTCCCTGATCTTTTTTTTTTTTTACTCGAGGCTAGCACTCTACCACTTGAGACACAGATCTACTTCTGGCCTTTTTGGTGATTAATTGAAGATAATGCTTCACAGGCTTTCCTGACCAGGCTGGAATCAAACTACATTCTTCAAATCTCAGCCTCATGAGTGGCTAGGATTACAGGTATGAGCTACCTGCACCTGGCTTTTAGGTGAATTTTTGCACTTGAAAATCCACTTTAGCCAGGTGCCAGAGAGTCATGCCTGTAATCCTAGCTACTGAGGGTATCGGAGGTCTGAGGATTGGGAATCAAAATAGAATATCAGAAATACTTCTCAGCTCATTTCAAGCCTGCTATATAGACTTGCAGTCCCTATCCTAGGCAGGGAACATGGAATGTACAAGGGACAATGAGAGAAGGGAAGGGATGCACTAGGAAGTCTTGTCTGCACTAGGAGAGACAACAAACTGTACCTCCCACTGGATCATAGAAAAAGCAGATCATTTGTAGGAGAAGGGAGATGAAATCATCACCTAATATTAGGTTTTTGCTTGTTGTTGCTGAATCCCTTTGACATTACCAGGCTAGACTTGAAAAGACTATTGTTTTCATTAAGCTGTTCTAAGCCATCTTCAACTAGTATTGAGAAAGAAAAAAAAAACAGAAAGAACAAAAGAAAAAATAGCCAAATTATTCATTTAAAAGTCCAAGTCTTTTGATATCATCACTTAGTATCTGAAAATAAAAATGGTAAATATTACAATTTACTATTGGCGGACTTATTGGAGAAGGTAAAAACAGACCTTAGGTTCCATGTCCACATCATACTGGTCAGTCTCTCATTTAGGTGAACAAGTCCACATTTCATTATTCAGCTCTCCTTTCTGTTTAGTTTGTGCTGCTCAATCCCATTTAGCCAATCACAAGTCGCAAAAGTGTGGACCGTGCAGATGACTCTTTTCTTGCCTCTCTCCAAGCAGATTCTCCTTCCTAATTCCTTTCTGAATGCAAGGTCTGGCAAGACCGCTGGCTCTCCTATAACCCCATGTGCCTGTCCTCCCTACAGATCCTCCCACCATCACAGAGTCCAAGAGCAACGAGGCTACCACGGGGCGACAAGCTTCACTCAAATGCGAGGCTTCGGCGGTGCCTGCACCTGACTTTGAGTGGTACCGGGATGACACCAGGTATGTGTCAAACCCACCATGCCTCAACTCTCAACTTCCCCCTCACCATACTGGGGATCCAAAGAGAGCCAATGAAAACCAAGCTTAGTTGTAATTGTGCAGCCCTACACTATACAAGTTTTCCTATTCAGTCTCTCTCTCTCTCTCTGTGTTCTCTCTCTCTTTCTTTAATCTCTCTCTGTTCTGTCTATAGTCAGTGTTCCATACAAAGCCCCAACAGAATAACAAAAACAATAAACTTTGGAACTGTGTCACCCTATTGATATTTTTTTCAAGATAATGGTTTTTGAAATGTATCCCAAGGACTTTGAGCCTTCATGAGACTTTTCAGAATGCTTCTTATGAAAAATGCTACAACTTTTTTTCAACATTGTTTTATCTATTTTATATAACTTGGGTTCCAAGTAGGAGTTTACTTGCAAAAATATCATCCATTATAACCAGTTTTACAAATAGTAGGAGATCAATTGTGTTGGTTATAAATATAAGAACTAGATATATGCTACCGTTTATTTGTGCCAGTCCTGAGGTAGATCTTGGGACCTGGATGCTGCTCTTGAGCATTTTTTCTCAAAGCTAGTGCTCTACTGCTATAACAACAGCTTCACTTCTGGCTTTTGCGTGGTTAATTGGATATAAGAGTCTCATGGACATTCCTCTCTGAACTGGCACTGAACCATAATCCTCAGATCTCAGCCTACCGACTGGCAGGATTACAAGCATGAGCCACCAGCATCTGCCTCAATATCAATGTATCCAGTGCTTTAGGGCCTATAACGCTTAGACTAAAGCTCAAAAATAATAGAAACTGATGAATGTGATGCCATGGGTACTTTCTGCCAGCATGTCTGTCTCATATAGCAAAATTCAGGGCAAATGGAAGACATCCATTCCTAAACCATCTCTATTAATGGACATCAGTTCCAATCCTAGGAATTCTGCAGTGACAATGGGGAATTTGCCAGGGAAATCAATCTCTAATTGATTTCTCTCTCTTTCCCCCCCCCCAGGTAAAAAGATGGGGAAGGAATTACTAAGGTAAAACCTTCATCCATGTTTCTTTTAACTCTTTTGTTTTACCTTCTTAGGATAAACAGTGCCAATGGCCTTGAGATTAAGAGCACGGAGGGCCAGTCCTCCCTGACAGTGACCAACGTCACTGAGGAGCACTATGGCAACTACACCTGCGTGGCTGCCAACAAGCTGGGGGTCACCAATGCCAGCCTAGTCCTTTTCAGTAAGTATGCCAAGGCAGGGCCTAACTCAGCACAATTAAACTGGTAAAGTTCTTGTGAAAACATGAAAATCATTTCCTCATCTATAAAAGGTAAACTTACACAAAAGTAAGAATATACACACTGAAAGAAATCCTAAGAATTTCAGTCCTGAGGCCTATGGAAAGATTTACAAATGGAAGAACTTTTCTGTGACCTCTTATCTGTTGGTGTGAGTGTTTTGTTTGTTTCATATAGGCAAATGACTCATATGGCCTTCGTATATGCAAAGGACACATGTGGTGCCCTCTTTAAGAAGCAGAGATGATGTAAGAACCTGCTGCTGATGCCTATTAGAAAAATACAGTAATGGGGAAGTGGCACTGTGGCTCAAGTGGTAGAGCACTAGCCTTGAGCTGGAGAGCTGAGGGACAGCGTCCAGGCCCAGAGTTCAAGCCCCACAACCAACCAAAAAAAAAAAGAAAATACAGTAATGGGAGTGAATTATATATATATATATATATATATATATACACACATGTATACGTGTATATGTGTATATGTATATATACATAGATATAACATACACATATACATGTATATATACATACATACATACATACATATATATATATATATATAGTGAGAATAGATAGAAGAGAGTGATGGAGAGTTTTGAAAAGAGAATATGATGAGGCACTGGTGGCTCACACCTGTAATCTTAGCTACTCAGGAGGCTGAGATCTGAGACTCACAGTTCAAAACCAGCTGGGGCAGGAAAGACTGTGAGACTATTATCTCCAATAAACCACCAGAAAACCAGAAGTGGTGCTGTGGCTCAAGTGGTAGAGTGCTAGCCTTGAGCTGAAGAGCTGAGGGACAGCACCCAGGCCCAGAGTTCAAGCGCAATGACCAACAAAAGAGAGAGAGAGAGGATAGAATGAATGATTATAACAATATAAAATCTAAATGAGGGGGCCATGGCTACAGAAGGCTTCTATTTAACAGAAGGAAACACTACTTCTCCAGTGTCCTTTTTTGCAATGGGGATGGATTGGTAGGAAAAAGAGCCTGATTGAAGATCAGAGAAGACCCTGAAAGTTGACTCAAAAGTGGTCAGTCATTTCAAAGTGAGATGTTAGTAGTAGACCTCACGTAGAAGTCTTGCTCTTAAACAGAATGTTACACTCAGGACTCTGAGCCTTCTGCCTTATCAAGCAGCTAGGAGTATAGACACAAATGTCTCCTGAGAGATAGAAGAGGAAAATGATAAGACTTGGAATAGCAACTCATTTGTTGAGTTAAAAACAAAAAACAAGCAAAAACAAAAACAAAAAAAACCCAAAAAGTTAGCAAATGCTGAGTCCCAACATTCATTTAAACCAAATGGCAATGTCTACAAAAATGCACTGTTCTTATTTTGCAATACTATTTTTCTGCACAAGCTCAGTTGGAAAAACTATGACCAGGATAATATCTTTATCTTGTCTTATTCTGTTTAGATGAAACTTTAAGAACAAAAGATTCTTAGAATTAAAAATCAATTTAACAGAGATTTATCTTAAAATACAATATGAAAATCACTTTAAAATTACTCAAGCTCCAAGAAAATATATATATATATATGTGCACACACACATATAACCAGTACAAACTACCCTAAATTTGGCCTTTAGACTCTCATTCATAACTCTCACTGGCATCAGTCTATGACAGATTGATAGAATGCCTAATGCCAAATGCCAAATCAATATGAAGTTTAAAATGCATATTCCTGTCTGTCTCATAAGGCCAAACACCAGTGTTCTTTGCTTCAACCAAAGACATCAATAACCATAGACACTTGGGATCATATATATTAAGAAATGTAGCACGATTGATCCCTCACAGTAAGGATTTGACAAGTATGGACAAAAACCAGCCTCAAATATGAATTCAAGATTCTGACAAAGCTAAGAGAACTTTAGCTAGAACAGCTTACACCTAACAAGAAGGTTTTAAATGACTGAAGAATAGAAGACTGGGACAACTGGTTTGGTTTTAAAAAGTGATTAAACATACAATTGCATTGAAATGTGTTTTCCTCATCACATGGAAAATAAGATATATGCTAAGAATAAATAAAATGGTGCCTCTAGACTGAGAAAGATGAAGAGAAAGGAGAGTAGAAAGATAGAAGACTTGGAATCGAGAGAGCAGAGCTTGGACTGGGTGAAAGATAATGAAGATATATGACTGAGGTAGTGAAAGTCAGTCTTGAGACTTATAATGCCACTGTCTTGTCACTAAAGGACTTAATGAAATTAGGAAAACATCAAGCTGGATGGATGCTGGTGGCTCACACCTGTAATACTAGATATTTAAGAGGCTGAGATTTGAGAAGCATGGTTCAAAAGCAACCAATAACCCAAACCATGAAACTCTTATCTCCAATTCACCAGCCAAAAGTCAGAAGTGGAAGTGTCGCCTAAGGAATAAAGTACAAGCTTTGGGCAAAATAGCTTTGCAACATCTCTCGGCCATGAGTTTAAACTTCAGTACTGGCATATACATACAGGAAGAATTCTGTTAAATTTCTTTTGTAAACTGATAGTCGGGGAACTAGAATGCCCTTGATAATTTGGAAGAAGTCATTCTTAATTATGTATTTTATGGTGCAGTGATTAATGACATGCTACCCCTCAGCGGTCCCACACTGCCCTCCCCACAGCAGCCCTCTCAGGCATTCGTTCCTCATTTAGCTGCATAAATATGCAGCCACATTGGGCTTGGAATTGCATTCCTACCTTCTGGTAAAGTTAATAGATGCTATAGTTACCGAAGACTATGATATAAAAGGTCATTAGGCAAGGAACTATTAAAATATAGAAAAATAATGGGTCAACTGTCCTGTTCATAATTAGACACTAAGCTTAATTTTGAACATTCTAGGGGCAAGGGGAGGGGAATCTTTTGTTCTTTTGCAATAAGAATGGTAGCCATGCATCCCAGATCCATTAATTAGATGTGGGAGGCACGTCATTGCCACCTCCAGAGCTGAAATCCTAAAGATGAAGCTTTATGGTAGCACAGCTCATTCAGGACCCTAGGGCAGGTGGGGGACAGGGAGAGGAAGAAGGAGAGGAAGTCAGAGATAAAGAAGGGAGGAAGGAAGGATGGAAGGAGAGAGAAAAGAAAAAGAAAGAGATGGAGAGAGGAAAGGAGAAAATGGAAAGCAAAGGAAAAAGAAAGTGCATATATGGAATGGATTGCCCATTGCTTCGATTCAAGGTAAATGGTGCTGCGGGGAAGAAGGAATCTCCATGCAAGTGGTGTTGGTGGCCCTCTCCCACAGTGCAGTGTTGAGAGGAGGTGTCTGCAGCCTGAGGCCCTGAAGGAGCAGTGTGCTTCAGCAGGGTGCTCTGCTGACCACGCCAGTCCAGAGTAGATGTGGCAGCTGGTAAGCCACCGCTGCCAGACAGAAGCAGCAGCAGGACCGGACCAGAGCCAGAGCCCCTGAAGAGTTCACGATGATTCAATTATTCATCCTTGGTGGGTCAGCACTTTTTCAGTCGGGCCTACCACAGTGACATGCTGACTGTTTTGCAGTGTTAATTTAAGAGCATTTGCCCTTAGCAACGTAATTCATACATACACTTCTCCACTCTCTATTCAAATATTGATCTCCAAAGGGTAGGAGGGGGGGTCAAAATAATTGACCAGGAGTGCAAGAACACATTCTATTGATAATCATTTATTCTTCAGCTACTGGAAGCATTTCTTCCTCATTTTCTTTTTTGTTGGATGTTCTAACACTCTGCCAAGCACTACTTAAGTCTGTGGAGTCAAGTAATGCTTTTTATATATTTTCCTTCATCACTGGGCTCGGTATTACGTTACATATTTTTTCTTAATGTGTCATCCCACAGTGATAGTATTTTTGGGCAGGGTTTTATCTCCTTAGTCTTTGTCAGACAGGTGAGTGAGTGTGTGTGTGTGTGTGTGTGAGAGAGAGAGAGAGAGAGAGAGAGACACAAATGGAGACTTGGATTTCTGGTGATGTCCAGAGAAGATCCATTATCAGATACAACAAAATTTATTTCCACCCTGGTGACTGAGGAGTAATCACAAAGGTGTAGGTTCTTCTTGTTTGGGTGCTTATGTTAAGTCAGTGTTAGTGAGAGGGAAAGGGGGAAAAAAAGGAGTGATAAGTCATTCTACCAATTGAGTGCTCACAGCACATTCCATAGTATGTACATATACTTAATGCTTTCCATACACAAACTCATTAAGTCATCATGACAAGCTTGCTGTGTACCCATGACTCCGACATTATAGAACTAGTTCACCTAAGAAAGACAGTGCTTGGGTAGTCTAATTCCAGCGAGAAGGTAAAAATATCAGGAGATATAGCTTGCAGACATTTCATTCCTTTCTTTTTCACTTAATGAGGTTTAAAAACTACTGGCTTAAAACTGTTCTTTTCCTTTAGAGCCAAGAGCACTACCTCTGCTACCACCTACTTCCCTTCTTGTTACCTACCATTAGAATTCTTGGGTCTACTGAATGACTAAAGATTCTCAACTAGTATTTTAGATGAGTAGCTTGAGGGTTCTTTGCACCTGGTAAAGAGTAGTCTAATCAGGTCCCTCCTCTTTAGAGAAATGTATGGATTAGTAAGGTATTTTCAAGCTCTTCAATACAAAGGGAAGAAATATTTTAAAAAACCTACATTTGACCATGCCATATATAGGAGCTAGGGTTTTTATGAATTTCTTTTTTAATTGTAAAAGATTACTAACTTATAAACCTATAATTGAGTACATTTTAAATACAATCTAAGCAACTTAGCAGTATGAGATTTTATCATAAGAACACACCCTCCCTGGAAATGGTGCTATAGCTCAAATGGTAGAGTGCTAACCTTGAGCTGAAGAGCTAAGGGACAGCATCAGGCCCAGAGTTCAAGCCCCACGACCAACCAAAAAAAAAAATTAAAGAAAGAAAAAAAGAAAGAAAGAAAGAAAGAAAGAAAGAAAGAAAGAAAGAAAGAAAGAACAAACCCCCCCTTCTTTAGAAATAATTTTAAGTGATTATTTTAGGAACATGAGGTTAAACACACAGCACTAAGCAATACTAGATAACACTTGGAAGAGCTCTAAAACAAATTCTTGTAGTGCCATATAATAAAACAATCTTAGCTACTGTTTGAACATGTGGTTTGAAAGACTAGTGCAAGCTTTGTTTGAGGGCTTGGTGTGGATTCAAAAGAAGTAAGTGAGCACTTGGACTACTTTGCATTTCAAGCGTTGGCATCAAAGAGACTGACTTGCAGAAAGACCATTGGACTTTTCTGCGGTACCCATTTGGGAAATAAATCATAAATATGTCAATATATTCATTACATCTCAATTTAAACAACCTACACTCAACTCCAGCCTTCATCATAAAGTGTCTTTAGTTCAAATGCTTCCTCTTGAAATCTTGATGCTCATTGAGTTGTTTCTCCTGTTACCCAGAACCATCAGCCAATAATATCCCACCCCACACTCCAACCACTCATTTAGCCAAAAAACAAACAAAAAGAAATTGGGCTCAGAGATAAGGGAGTAACTAAAGGCCACAGTTGAAATGCTGGAGTCAACAGTGATACTCTGTTTTCATACCCCCCTATCAGGTGCTGAACAAACTTGATCTCCACAATAAAAGTTGACCCACCCAGTCAAAGGACAAGCATCTTTGCCCAAAGTTCTTACCCTCCCTTCCTTTTAAAAAACAAAACTACGGGCTGGGAAGGTGGCCCAGTGGTAGAGTGCTTGCCTTGCATGCCTGAGGCCCTGGGTTCGATTCCTCAGCACCACATAAGCAAAAAGAAAAAAGCCGGAAGTGGTGCTGTGGCTCAAGCAGTAGAGCGCTAGCCTTGAACTGAAGAGCTGAGGGACATCGCCCGGGCCCAGAGTTCAGGCCCCACAACCGGACCCAAAAAAAAAAAAAAAAGTGCTAATTGTGTTACATTATGATGTTTGGAGGTAGGTAGCAAATAATGCATCATTCTACTTGATGAAAGTGTCAGGGGAGAATTTAGAGCTAAACCTAGGTTTTCAATAAGAAATATGAAGGGTACCTTATAACCTAAGTTCCATTAACATATTCAATTTGTAGTCAGTAGCCCTGCTTTAGAACTGTGACAGACTTGAAAGCATAAAACCTCAGAGCTCAAAGGGGAAGTTCTTTTACAATTCAGCAGGAAGGATCAGGAAGCAAGTTTGATTGGCTATCAAATTTCACACAAGATTGTATTATATCAAAAGGGTGTGAACAAGGAACAGATTAAAAATAAAACTGTATGATTGCAAGAAATGAATTACCTGCTCATGACTCCTACAGGAGCTTCACTAATATGGAAACAAAAACCTAACAGAGATGTAGAGTTAGTTTTTCCAAAAATAAATTTTAAAGATACTTGGCTAATGATGATGAGCTGTGTGGCTGAGGGAGAAAAAGTAGCTGTCAGTAGCCACAGTTTCCATGTGTCATGAGCAGAAGGATCAAGTTGCATCACCTGGATTTCAGTATTTTCTATAAACAGCCTCTACACTGTGTAAGTTCTAAAGTCCTGGCCGTAGATGGTTCCAGTGGAGAGAGAAAAGGCCTGGAAGGTTACCACAATCTAACCTAGTCTTCTTACTCTTGTTAGACTTTTTCAAAAGGTGTTGTGGTTTTAATTACTTGACAACCTCTCTTTGAAGCTTTTGTATTAACAGAAAGAACAAATAATCACCTTATGAGAAACAGGATCCTAGAGGCATGGGAATTCGTCTGTGTTGTAATTGTGTGAGTGGCTGAACAACAGAAAAATTTATATGCATATATTGAAACTCTCCATGTTGTTTACCATTTTTCCCCTTTAGAGCGTGTTTTACCCACAATCCCCCACCCCATTCAAGGTCAGTATGATTTCTGTCACTGTAGATCTATTGCTGGGTCATTCTCCAACATCAATAACACAACAGTCACAAAGAGTAGAATTTTTTTTTGTTTTTCGTTTGTTTGTTTTTGCTGTTGAACAGTCAAAAAACAGTGTGCTACCCCTATTACACATGTGAGTTACCTGAACTAATTTCAGGCTGGTCAGCAGCTGGGCAATGCTGTACCTGAGAGCAATTCTTTGTATTTAATCAGTATTTATCATCGCTAACTATAAACCACTCACATATGTGGAAAACAGCTGCTTACATTTTCTACCTTTTTAACTCCATAAACTACAAATGCGTCCACTCACCGCCTTCCAGGTGGAAAATTATACTATTGGAATTTGAAGTCCAAGGGTAAACTCAACCAAATTACAAGGATACTACTTTGCCTTAAATTCTTGGCCAACTTACGGATTTTTTTTTCTTTTTAACATAACTACTTTGGAAAAAAGATTTTTAAGTAGTTGTTCTGTATTCTTTTTCATAAAACCTTCTACATTTCCAAATTGAATTGTGCCTCCTACTTCACATTTAGATGCAAGTCGCAGCCAAGACTCTCTAGCTTAAGGCTATTTAAAGGCAAATTGGCAAATAAAATTAAAATAATACAAAAAAAAATCTGAAATGAAACTAACCTACCATTGAAATTAAATTCCAGAAAAGTGATTTGCAAATAGCACTCAAAGACCTGAGGAAAAAAAATGGAAACTAGGCCATGCAGGGCCTAGTGTGGAAAAAATAAATCCAATTAAATGAGATTATCATCTACACTATAAAGAAAATGTGCTCAGAATTAACGGTGGAAAGCTGCTGTTTCATAAGTTTGAAGAAAGATCATGTTCCATTAGCACTTGTCCAAGCTAAAAATTAGACCAAAATTGAGTATGGATATTCAGAATGTCAATAATACAATGTTTTGCATAAATATGCTATCACATATATGCAAACTTACTTTAATTACATTTGAAATGGGTACTGCAAGGTTTCCCGGAACAATAAGACAGCTTAATAAAAGAATTTATTATTACATTTTAAGAAGTATCTAAATATTTTAATATAAAAATTTAGAACTCTGTTGAGTAAAAAAAAAAACTTCCTAAAACATTAATGAAATCTGTTTCATATCCCAGCCACTAAAAATAAAACTGTTAAAATGTGCCTGATTCTTTTAAAACTTGACACAAAATTTAGTGTTCGTGGAAAATATCCCTATCTTGAATTCCTGACATGCCACAATTATTTTAAGACATTTATCTTCTAGTGTTGCTGCAAAGATTGACACTATTTTATCGTGTTGCCATCTTGCAAATATCTTAATATGGAAAGCACGTACATACACAGTTATCCCAGTGGATAGCACTTTCAAAGAGGTCGTGTCCCATCCAAGATGAGCATGGCACGGTATCATGATTTCTCTAGCTACCCTCTGTGAGGGGAGTTCTGCAGCCACAAGCTCAAATATTTATCTGATTGCATGTTGTGACATAGGTAACATGGAACAAAGTGAAGCCAGACACTGTTCACAAAAGACAGCTGTCAGATATGGAAACACATGCTTGCCTAGAGATGGAGCATGTTGAACTTTCCATTGCCCACAAACTGAATTGTTGATTGGAGAATGACCCTCATTCGATTTTATGTTATAGGTAGACTGTAGTTAGCTTTCTTAGATCCAATAGATTTAGAGAATATAGTTTCTCTTACTACTAATACTTTGGGCTTCTGCTAGTGGAAATTGAAAAGCTGTTCATGGGGATTTGGGATAGCTGGTGTGGGAGGCTGCCCCCTCTTAAATTCCCTGCTCTTCACAAGACTCTAACCCTCTAGGGATTTAATCCCTTTTTTTCCTTCTCCTCTGTCTAATCAAGATGACCAATCCTGTGAGATACACTTTCCCTTGGTTGCCAATTTAGTATCTAAATAGTTATATAAAGTCTGTCTTTATAAGTATAATGTAAGACTCTCTCATTTAATCAAATTCATATTTTGTTTCTAATTTATTCCCAAAATGTTAACATGTCCATCAGCAATTGTTTGTAATAAATGGTCAGAAGAATTTTGGACCAACTAATGTCCCTAAGATTTTTTTAAATATATTTTATTATCCTTGAGTAGTTGTACAAAGGGATTTCCATTTAACAGAACAATTCATGAGTATAATGTATCTTCATCAGTGTCACCCCGTTCATCATTCTCTCCATCTCTCCAAATCCCATTAATCTTCCCAAGTTACCTGGTTCCATTTTCTCAGGTGTACACTGAATATCATAACGCTATTTTCCCTTAAGGTGTCTTGACAGCAGAAAGTCATAAAGATTCCTTTCTGCCCTCCCATGATTAAAAAAAAAGAACTTCCTCCTCTCCTCACATTCAGATTTCACTTCGGCTCCTTCTTTGTCAACACTTCTCACTGAAGGGTTGTCTTTCTTCTCAGTGCTCCATACCCATCAGGCCAACAGAGGATGCACTGCTGAGCATCAGCAAGAATGTAGCCCTAAACCCCCTTAAGCTGTGATTAAGCCAAAACAAGGCTCAATAAATCAAATGCATTTCCCTAGGGTTTCCATCCTCATCTTGCTTGATTTTCTGCAGTGATGATAATAATGTTGGAATCACACCAAAGAGTAATATGTATTGGATGTGGCCAATTAGAAATTGTCCCAAATGTCCTTTGCTCCTGTGCCAGACACACACACACACACACACACACACACCACACACACACACACACACACACACACACACACACTTCCTTATTCCATACTTTAAAAGATACATAGAAAAAAAATAAGGAAAATAAGTAGTATTCCAGCCTTGATCTGTTTCTGATAGAAGTTTTTATCCCATTAATTTTAAATTAGGTTTATTCATTCGGAAAATGATTCCCAAATTGCATATATTTGCATAAATACACTCTCCTCCATCCCCCTCCCCTCCCCTCCCCACCCCCAACTCTACTGCTGCAGAAAGTCCACTGAATTGTAAAATGAGTAAAGAGCCATCTAGAAATGTCTGAGGAAACTTTTCTAGCTTGTTATTTCTTCACCTTACTTCCTGGGCCCTCAGAAGTCTGGGCATGGATAAAAGTCTCCCCGTCCGCTTCCTTGTGCATGGGCCTTCTTCATGAGGCCTTCACATTGAGAAGGGTTATAGGTTCAGGATAAGGTGGTGAAACCAGTCTCAGAAAGCTAAGAATCAAGTGAGAGAAGGGAAAAGGACAAGGACAAACCGCCATTGTTTTGTTTTAACAGCTCTCCAGCCAAAAGTTCCCTTGAGCGCCTGGCTCTCTAGGCTCCATCACTGTTTCTTAAAAACAAAAACAAAAACAAAACACCACCAACAACAAAAAAAAAAAACAACTCCCTGAACTCTGTCTCACTTATTTGCCTCCCATCTGATTATTTCCCCCAAGTGAACAGCCTTTCCAATCACTAACCCCGTGTGGCGAGTGGGTTTGGGAAATGTGGAGATTATCTTCCAGGTTCAGGCATTGCACTGGGTCTGTGCACAGCTGTTTGCCAATCAGTTGCTGTTTTTCCATTGATAAAACACATTGCACATGGCTGGGTTTGCATGATTAATACAGCTGTCTAAAGCTCTCTCAAAACAAAACAACCACCACCCCAGAATTAAACTTGGGAAAGAATTAGAATCCAACCAACAAACAAACCAAGCTTGCATACATTTGAAGTCAGCCTGGTATATTTTCTCTTATAGGGAGAGTGGTGTTCTTATAGGTAGGCCTACCATCAGTAAAGGAGCAGATAGCCCTGCTCCTAGGAATGGGAAAATAGGAAAACCCTCAATCTATCCCATGCTATAAAGATCACTGGATAATCCCTAGAATTTCATTTACTTTTTATAGAATATCATCCTGGAAATCATAGAAAATGCTCCTTTATAGCTCCTTAAATAACAACAATGCCACTAATATAATAACCATTGCTAACATCTTTAATAGGTTGCTCTTTTACCGAGAGGTATAAGATCTTTGACTTATATTAACTCAATCAATCCCCATAACCCTAAGAAAGCAGTATGCACTTTCTCCCATCCTTTTTCTCATACATTTTGATTAGCAACAGTTAGTTATACAAGGTGATTTCATTTTGACATTTTCATATATGTGTACAATGTACCTTGATCAGATTCACCCCTTCTGTCACTGTTCTTCACCAACTTCCTCCTTCCTAAACCAATCTCCACAAGCTTCATTGTTCCATTTTCTGTCATGTACGTATCCACCCTACCCCTCCCACATGGTTTAATGATCAAGCAACTACTTGGAATACAATCCCACGAGTATGGTATATTACCTCTGCACTCATAATATTCCTTAGATATACACCTGTCTGATGAATTTTTTAATTTTTGTACATATTACCAGACTTAAAATTCATGACAGTTTAGTATCCACATGTATTTTCTAAGTTCATTTTCAAATATACCAAACAGAGAGAGAGAGAGGGGGGTAGAAGAGAGAGAGTGAGAGAGATGTTTGCTTGACTCACACAGATTTATTTGAAAGCATTCATCCTCTTTTTTTTAAAAAAAAAAGGCACGGAGGAAGAACTATCTGGCATCAGCACATTTAATTTCACACACTTATTCAGACTGATTTACATACACACCTCCATTAATCATGGATAATTACTGGCATTGTTCTCTGTAATTCAGTTTTTCCAACTGTGAAATGGGAAAGAAATTATATTTTTCATGCCTGTAAGTTCAAAGTAGTATCTTCAATAACTTATTAAAAAAGAGCTTTAAGTTCATAGAAAGAAAGCATACTGAATTTAAAATACTCATATTCAAATGCACATATTTTCTATGCTTTTTTTTAAAAGTACTGTCTTTAAAAGGTACACTTGTGTCATTTTGCATGGATATCCAAGGAGATGTGAATTCATTATGGTTTTGTTATCATTTGAAGTGTTATAGATTCTAAGGATATCTTAAATCCTCGTACTGTT